AGACAGCCACTGAAAGAGTGATAGTGAATGAATTAACGTTTTGGCGTCATCTTACTTCAGTGGGAAGCGGACGGTATGTTAATAAAAAAAAAGACACGAAGAGCATAACTTCCATTGTAAGCAGAGAGGTAACTACAAACAATGACGAATTTAAACCAGTTAGACACTACACTAAACCGAATAACGCGGGATCGATTCCAACAACTAACACAAGGAGCAACTGCTGTATTATGTCACCTAGAACAATAAAGGTGGTAAATGGTATGGTGATACCGACAGGATGTGGAAATGGACACTTGTGTACAATTCAGTACACATGTGTCCTTTCCCACAAAGAAAGATGTAACACACACACACACACACACACACACACACACACACACACACACACACACACACACACACACACACACACACACACACACACACACACACACACACACACACACACACACACACACACATACACACACAGGTTAGGAAACCAACAGCTGCAAACGTCAATTGAAGAAAAGGATCTTGGGGTAAGCATTATAACGAACATGTCCCCTGAGGCATACATCAATCAAATAACTGCTGCAGCATATGAGAGATTGGCAAACCTGAGATTGGCGTTTAGACATCTGAGTAAGGAGTCATTCACGACATTGTACACAGTGTACGTAAGGTCTATACTGGAATATGCAGCGCCAGTATGGAACCCTCACTTAGTCAAACACGTCACGAAATTGGAGAAAGTGCAAAAATTTGCAACACGATTAGTCCCGGAACTGAGGGGTATGTCTTATGAGGAGAGGTTAAGGGAACTCAACCTGATGACACTAGAGGATAGGAGGGATAGAGGGGACATGATAACAACGTATAAAATACTAGGAGGCATTGACAAGGTGGACAAGGATCGAATGTTTCAGAGATGGGAAACCCAGATGAGTCATAGGGATGTTAGGAAGTATTTCTTTAGTCTTAGAGTTGTCAGGAACTGGAATAATCTGGAGAGTGAAGTAGTGGAAGCAAGTTCCATAAATAGCTTTAAGAAGAGGTATGACAAATATCATAGAGCAGGGAGAGAGTGAATTAGTATCGACCAGCGAAGAGGCGGGGCCAGGAGCCATGAATCGACCTCTGCAACCACATATAGGTGAGTACATATAGGTGAGTACACACACACACACACCAGCGACATATCCAGCTCACTACTCACCAACCTCAGCTGTCTACCTGGCTTCATTACTCTCTCCACACTCCATGCTGGAAGGCTAACCTCACCGTCTCACTATAGGACACGTCTCTCACAACCAACCAGCCAGCAATAATGTTTTCCTGGCCGTCGATGCAGTCAACTTCAGGGTCCCAGTGAAAATGTTTACTTTGCCACAACGTGGGTAACTTTATCTTCCTATGCCCGACGGATATTACTCGTCTTCTTACCCTCCAGATAACATTCTTCCTTGGCACATGTACCTGTAATAATTAATTTTGTATAATAAAGTCTCGAATTAAGGAAGATAATGTACAACAAAATGATAATTAAATAATTTGAATGGCAAGTTAGCCCTACCATCAGGAGTTATTGTTATTACTTTAACACGCGATGACTGCCACACAGAACCACCTTGCTGCATGTCATTTAAGCCACTCAGATGAACAATTAATAATTGCCTTTTAGGATGAATCGACAATCCTGATGCGGAGTGGCTAACAAGGTGCTACAGCTTTCTGACATTTGAGAGCGAGGGTTTTCGGCGTGGAATATACCTCACTTCTAGGAACATCTCAGGTTACCAGATCCTCTCGCATCTCGTGATGGTTCACGCTATATCAGCTGCCTTTCTGTATGTGCTGTATCTCTCTCCAAAACTATATTAAATATTAAATTTAACGTGTCCCTTAACTCCGTAAATAGTACATATAGACAGTGCATGTGTTCTGGTGGTGGGAATATATGTTGAACTAAAACTAGTCTACTGTGTGTACTGTATTTCTCATTCTTAATTACCTGCTCTAAAAATCTGGTTCATAACCGGGTACCGAATACACTTTGAAAAGTACTTTGGTTCCTAATACTTATCATGAGGCCACAAAAGCTTAGTAAGAGACATCCAACAAAATAAATTTTTACATACTTGGGAGGTTAGCATGGGCCCACTAGGACTATATAAGGTAAGTTTCCGTGTCAGTTCTCGCTTCCACACGGCAGCGATGACGTCTTTAGTTTCTTCAGAGCTGTTTTTTGTTGTTAACCACAACTCGTTTCTCTATAAAGCAGGTGTTCCCAAAACGTTTCTCTCTTTATAATGGCGATGTTTACAACATATTTCCTTCCTTACAATGAAGGTGGTCCCAATACATCTCCTTCCTTATAATGCTGGCGGTTCCGATACATTTCTCTCTTTTCAGTATTGATGGTCCCAACATGTTTCTCTCTCTCTCTCTCTCTCTCTCTCTCTCTCTCTCTCTCTCTCTCTCTCTCTCTCTCTCTCTCTCTCTCTATATATATATATATATATATATATATATATATATATATATATACAGAGCTGTGCGAAAGTATCGGCATCGGCTATTTTTATGGTATCGGTACTCAGTATTGGTTAAAAAACGTCCGATACCAATCGATACTTTAAAAATATTGATATTAATGCTCATATTAAGAATATTGAAATTAACGTTCTGATGATTGTGAGGGTTACACACACACACACACACACACACACACACACACACACACACACACACACACACACACACAACACACACACACACACACACACACACACACACACAAACACACACAAACACATACATACACAAGGCGATCAATGAAATATGTTTATTGTTTTATAATTTCCACTAGACACAAGGACATAATTATTGTAACATCAGTAATAAAATTTGTTTCCCGGAAGCTGTACGTTGAGTCGACTGAATATGTTGACTACAGTGCATATTATCAAGTTTACTGAATGCGTAGAATACAGTTAATAATGTAGTTTAATGAAATGTACATGGAAAACTAAATGATTTTTTTGAGTATATGATGAGATAACTGGCGAAAATAATATTGTGTTAAACCTTTTTCTTTATTCTTTAGTATCCAGCGAGAAAGAATATATATACATATATATATATATATATATATATATATATATATATATATATATAATATATATATTATATATAAATATATATATATATATATATATATATATATATATATATATATATATATATATATATATATATATATATATATATATATATATATATATATATATATATATATATATATTACGCATTGTGAACTACTGTAATATACGAAGTCTTTGTCAATAATGCTCTCAGCTGGTTCTCTTTTTCTTTCCTCAGGCCCCACCTGTCTTTCTCCCCACATGACCACTGACATGAAACATTTTCCCAAGAGAACAGCCCCACTGTGGGTCTATCTTCTCACTTCTACTCTCGATATCCCCTCAACCCTGTCCACTCGTGCCCTAATCGGCGGTCGTTAAGGGTCGCCAGGTGGCACTAATGCTCTCTAAAACAACACGATAACTTCACAATTACTGTTGAATGAGGCAGCCGAGGTACTGATTAACATCCTTATGGGCGTTCCCCTTAAACTTTGCACTCGTAATGTGAAAACTTACTCCTAAATATTTTGTCCCATTCTGGAACAAAACAATCGTGTTTTATCTTCCCTTGCTACGACAACAGTCTCCTTTTTTTATTCTCCGCCGGAAAACTCGGAGGTGCCGCCAGGAAGGAGATAAGAACCATCGATTTCAAGTACAGGGCGATACTGTCAGCTTCACTATAAAGTTGGCGGCTCCTCCTAGTCTGGTCTGAGACCGGGCCGCGGGGACGATCAACCCGAAATCGACTTCAGGAAGATCTCAGGAAGCTTTCAGTTTCCTAGAATAATTATTCTAGGAAACTGAAAACTGTCTGTAAATTATAATTTATAGTCTGCTGGAAGGGCTTGATTGTATACTTTTATTATTATTATTATTATTATTATTATTATTATTATTATTATTATTATTATTATTATTATTATTATTATTATTATTATTATTATTATTACGAAGAATTACTAAAGAGGGTCATATAGCGCCTAGGATATGTAAGGCAATCTGGTTTAGTCTTAGGAAAAGTGGGTAGGTTCACTTTCTTGGATCTAGAGCCCTTTATCCGATGTGATATTGTCTTGGATGCCTTGATGCCGATGATGGACTTTTGATTCATGGAACTGGAACTATCCCTCTCCTTCCTTAGATCAACCTTGATTAACTCTTCGTCCCCAGATACTGTATTATTTTTCTAGAGTCAATACTTCTCCCATGATTATAATAACAATAATAATAAGAAATATTATAATAATCCTTCAGGAAAATTCTCAGGAAAATATCTTAAAAAATATAGGTACTTCAGTTTACAGGCAGCCAGGTATAATAACTAAGACTTTTATGAGTTAGGTTATGAGTGAAAATCAATGGGTTTTATGGCTTGTGGTGTTGGAGTAACTGAAGTGTCATTCATGAAGAAATTCAGCGAAATCGGTTACCCGAACTTTAGTGCTGGAGGTGCGAAGTACAGTGTTTGCACTCTAAAGGAATGGAGGCGATGTTGCAGCTCAAAGATTCATTTGAATCATGATGTACGCGCACTGCTGATAAGACAGCAACTGGATGAATAATGATGAATGTGTTTCTTTCATTAAGACATCCCTACCTTATTGGGAGGCGGCCGGTGTGGTACAAAAAAAAAAAATAATACTAGTCTTTTTCATCCAAACTTTCTCTTACAATGTGACGCAATATTGCAGACTAAAGTTTTAATCCGCTCCTTTTCCACGTTCGTTGTCACAGACGAGGCTACTTGTTTTTGGCAGCGTTCAGTAATTTTTGAAACCACCTTTCTTCCTTACCATGACCCTGATGAATTTCACGTCAACATATCCACAATATTTCTAACTTTGTTGTCTGGTCTGCCCACAGGTACGGAGATATGGTTCCTCATACACCCACGGGTAAGATCGTGGGTGGCGTGTGTTCGCTCTCCGGAGTGTTGGTGATCGCGCTGCCTGTGCCTGTCATCGTCTCCAACTTCTCCAGAATTTATCATCAGAACCAGCGAGCGGACAAGAGGAAAGCTCAGAAGGTAATATCCTCAGGAATGTTTGGTACCATTATGTGTAGGATGTTGTGTTCTGCTTAGATCCTGTTAAAATCCTGTAGGAAGAGATCATCTATTCACAACTAGCCCACAAATTGAGGATTAACATTGAATGATACTTCGGTCCGTCCAGGAAAATTATCAAGTCGTGAATGTCTTAATAACGGTTGAGGACGGTCCGGAATGTCGTCCTATTTAGATCCCCTATTTGCAGCTTAATTGTGAATTTCTCCAGTTACGGCATAGTGACTTTCATTCTTCGGTGAGATTATTCCTCAGTGTCTCAGCTATTCAGAATGCCTTCGTGTTCATAAGTCCACTTCGTGACAAACACATGGCAAATTAGTTAATTTTAAAATGGCCTGTAATTTCTGTTAAAAGCATTGGCTGCTGTGTCGGCGAGTTGCCACCAGTCTCTGGTATCGTGTTGACAGTTTCGGTGACTACGAGAATCTCGGCGTTCATTTATCCACTCTTTTCGTCGTTGTTGTTACTTTTATCGCTGTCGTTACGGTATGTGTATTTTTGTTCAGTAGGCCTTTTGCCATTATTTAATATAGAGTACTTTTTAATATGATGAACTTTTTTACTTATCAACATGGAGCTGTCCACTTGCCAAGTAGAAAGAACTCCAAATGTGAAGTAAGTAACTGTCTACTTATCTAGAGTGCAGAAATGCCCACCTATCAGGAATTAGAAATCTCCCAATTCTGAATGAAAATTCAATGTCCACTTAACAACAAGGACTCCTTGTTAACTTATCACCGAAGATTTACTCTTTGGTGTTACCGAAAACTTCCTGTCCATTTATCAAAAATGAACATTCCGTCCACTTATCAATAATTAGTCTCTCTTCACTAAAGACATATTAATCCACGTTCACTTAGCATCAGGGAGTTAAAGTCCACCTGTCTGAAAGTTGTCTCTATCCCCTTGTTAACAAGAAGTTCCCGTCCCTTTGCAAATGCGGATTCTCTGTCGAATTATCGACGAAGAATTCCTCTCTCCTTATATACATGGAGTCTGTCAAGTTATAAAGAGGGTATCCACGTTTTCAATTGCTGGCTGAGCCTAGCATCTCTCCTCCTCTTTGAGCATTGTTTTGTATTTCTCTTGTTATTTCCATCTGTTTGCTGTGCCTTTCTTTATCTTAGTCGTGCATACATGTCAGCCTTCATCCTGCGTATTTCTTACTTCTAAACACTATTGATTATTGTAGTAATTTGGCTTAAAAATTACTAACGTTCCAGCGCTAGTTCATGGTCTCCTTTTTTTTTTTTATCTCCTCCACATACCTGCAGCATCCTCACATATCTGCAACATATTTAAACACCTGCAGTACACCTAAGTTCCCGTAATATCGCTACACACCAGCGACATTGCTACACACAAGCTACATTGCGACACCCTAGCAACATCGCTACATACCAGCAACACCGCTACACGCCACCAACATCGCTAGACACCAACAACATCGCTACACACCACCAACATCGCTACACACCACCAATATCGCTACACACCACCAACATCGCTACACACCACCAACATCGCTACACACCACCAACATCGTTGCACACCACCAACATCGCTACACGCCACCAACATCGCTAGACACCAACAACATCGCTACACACCACCAACATCGCTACACACACCAATATCGCTACACACCACCAATATCGCTACACACCACCAATATCGCTACACACCACCAACATCGCTACACACCACCAACATCGCTACACACCACCAACATCGCTACATGCCACCAACATCGCTACATACCACCAACATCGTTACACACCACCAACATCGCTACACACCACCAACATCGCTACACACCACCAACATCGCTACATAACACCAACATCGCTACATACCACCAACATCGCTACATACCACCAACATCGCTACACACCAACATCGCTACATACCACCAACATCGTTACATACCACCAACATCGCTACATACCACCAACATCGCTATATACCAACAACATCGCTACATACCACCAACATCGCTACACACCACCAACATCGCTACATACAACCAACATCGCTACATACCACCAACATCGCTACATACCACCAACATCGTTACATACCACCAACATCGCTACATACCCCCAACATCGCTACACACCACCAACATCGTTACACACCAGCAACATCGCTTCACACCACCAACATCGCTACACACCACCAACATCGCTACATACCACCAACATCGCTATATACCACCAACATCGCTACATACCACCAACATCACTACACACACCAACATCGCTACACACCACCAACATCGCTACATACCACCAACATCGCTACATACCACCAACATCGCTACATACCACCAACATCGCTTACATACCACCAACATCGCTACATACCACCAACATCGCTACACACCACCAACATCGTTACACACCAGCAACATCGCTACACACCACCAACATCGCTATATACCACCAACATCGCTACATACCACCAACATCGCTACACACCACCAACATCGCTACACACCACCAACATCGCTACATACCTACCAACATCGCTACATACCACCAACATCGCTACATACCACCAACATCGTTACATACCACCAACATCGCTACATACCACCAACATCGCTACACACCACCAACATCGTTACACACCACCAACATCGCTACACACCACCAACATCGCTACATACCACCAACATCGCTACATACCACCAACATCGCTACATACCACCAACATCGCTACATACCACCAACATCGGTACACACCACCAACATCGCTACACACCACCAACATCGCTACATACCACCAACATCGCTACATACCACCAACATCGCTATATACCACCAACATCGCTACACACCACCAACATCGCTACACACCACCAACATCGCTACACACCACCAACATCGCTACATACCACCAACATCGCTACACACCACCAACATCGCTACATACCACCAACATCGCTACATACCACCAACATCGCTACATACCACCAACATCGCTACATACCACCAACATCGGTACACACCACCAACATCGCTACACACCACCAACATCGCTACATACCACCAACATCGCTACACACCACCAACATCGCTACATACCACCAACATCGCTACATAACCACACAACATCGCTACATACCACCAACATCGCTACTCACCACCAACATCGCTACACACCACCAACATCGCTACATACCACCAACATCGCTACATACCACCAACATCGCTACATACCACCAACATCGCTACACACCACCAACATCGCTACGCACCACCAACATCGCTACATACCACCAACATCGCTACACACCACCAACATCTCTACATACCACGAACATCGCTACATACCACCAACATCGCTACATACCACCAACATCGCTACACACCACCAACATCGCTACATACCACCAACATTGCTACACACCACCAACATCTCTACATACCACCAACATCGCTACATACCACCAACATCGCTACATACCACCAACATCGCTACACAACCACCACATCGCTACATACCACCAACATCGCTACACACCACCAACATCGCTACACACCACCAACATCGCTACACACCACCAACATCGCTACACACCACCAACATCTCTACATACCACCAACATCGCTACATACCACCAACATCGCTACATACCACCAACATCGCTACATACCACCAACATCGCTACATACCACCAACATCGCTACATACCACCAACATCGGTACACACCACCAACATCGCTACACACCACCAACATCGCTACATACCACCAACATCGCTACACCACCAACATCGCTACATACCACCAACATCGTTACATACCACCAACATCGCTACATACCACCAACATCGCTACACACCACCAACATCGTTACACACCACCAACATCGCTACATACCACCAACATCGCTACATACCACCAACATCGGTACACACCACCAACATCGCTACACACCACCAACATCGTTACACACCACCAACATCGCTACATACCCGCAGTATTGCTACATGTGTCCTCGCCTTTCTCTGCTTGCGTTTCACTATCGCAAAATTGTTTCAGTAACAATTGCAAAATCTCGTTCAAACGTTATTAAAATATTTTTACTAACCTTACTCTACCATGTGTACTCTACCATGTGTACTCTACCATGTGTACTCTACCATGTGTACTCTACCATGTGTACTCTACCATGTGTACTCTACCATGTGTACTCTACCATGTGTACTCTACTATGGGCCCACAGACATTCAAAAGATTTCGAACGGATATATTGACATTATTTTTTCGGCAGTTCGGATACCACAGTAACGTGACTATAAAGTTATTATTTTTTTCCACACTAAGATGGAGTAAAGGAAATGGTTTGGTGCCGACACGGACGTTCTCACAGTCTAGCCTCCCAGCATTTAAAAAAAAAAGAAAACAAGACAGTGATACGGCTTATCATTGTATTTATAACAATGTTGCATTGGCAGCAGCGCATTTCAGGGACTAGACAATATATTAATTATTGTGCCATGACTGTGAATTTTGTCTTAATGGAATTAAGTGATGTGAGTTTTTGACACAGGAAATTGAAACACACTCTGATGACTGTTAACTCTCTTTCAGTCAGAAAATCATATTAAGCTCTTATATACACACACCTTAACAATTACTATTGAATATTTCTGTCTGTACATCCATATGTAGCTATGACATCTACATGTGTATGTAAGCATATACAAATTTAAAAATTCAAGTAACTACAAGTTAAACTTGAAGTCGTCTGATGTTATTTCCTAAAAAAAAAAAAGGGCACATGTAACGAATCTCGGTGTAATTAAGTTAAGTGATGTTATCAGAATTACGTTTCAACATGACCTTTCAGTCCCACCATCACTTCACTCCACTGATGTGTAAATATTTTGTTATTGTATCAGCTATTATGAATTACTAGGATCCTTTTGTTTTAAGTCAACAAACGAG